GGTTCCTTCAAATGCAATATGTTTTTTGGGAAAAAATATACACATTATACACTAAAAGGGAAAAAAAAAACAAACTTTAATTAGTGAAAGCAGAGGTATGGAAAACAATTTTAAATAGTTATTTAAGTTCTCCATACTCGTGAACTGGTCTTCTGACAAGTGGTCAGAATTGGACATGTACGTTACACTTACCTATTGTCAATGAACATATTTTCATACACTAAAATTCCAAAATATTAAACTGAGATACCCTGTCTACCTAAGCCTTTACAGAGTAGAATTTGCAAGATAAACAAACAGCAGTTGTGAGAAAAACCACATTTACCCTATCAAAGTACCGGCTGACTTTGCTGTTGTACCCCAGCAACTTAGGCCATGAAGTCCAAGGTAGTGTCATTGCAATCATTTTATGAAATGGGGGTGAGAATGGCCCTGGTAGGGAGGGTTATGGGAACCTATATATTGGGAATGTCCTGGGATCAGTAGCACTACCCTCTAAGCCCAAATGTAGTCTGGCATAAGATGCTGGTTTCATTTCCCAATAAGGGGCAGAAACACTAAGTTTATTTATGCAAACACTTAGCAGGATTTAAAAAATTCAGCTCCTTGGAAAAAAGTACAACTTCTCAGACAGACTGAAAAAGGCAAATGTGTGTCTTCCTATCACATCTGCTTTGAAGAAAAAAGAGTGCCATGGGCTATGGAAATGCCCTTCCCATGAGTCATTCTGTTTGGTCAGTGTGGACAAAGTTCCAAGATTTCACAATATCATCTCAAACTCTTCATTTTAACTCCCTTTCCTCCTTCTCACTCAGATAAATGAAAACACCTAGCCAAGCACTAGGGCACAGTACCAAAGAAAAACCAAGTTGACCACTGTCAAGTCAATTTGACTCATAGTGATCTCTCTTTGGGTTTCCGAGGCAGTATCTCTACAGAAGCAGATTCCCAATCTTCTTTCTGAGGAGTGCCTGGTGGGTTTGAACTACCAGAGTTCTGGTTTAGCAGTCAAATGCCTTAGGCATTATGCCACCAGAGCTCCCAGGGCACAGTAGATCTATTCAATTGATACTGCTTGGATCAATGTGTCAGTAAATTGAATCCAATGCCAATGAAGGGCTCGTAGAAGAGATGTTATATTTTATATTTAGCATTAAGATAGGAAAAGATAGGGTAGGGCACTCTAGAAGCTGCAGTATGAGCAAAAGTGACTTGGCTAGAACACTGGGAATATAGAGGAGGCTAATACAGTGGGTTGGGCAATCTACTTCCATAGTGATACTGCCTACGGGTTGCTATGAGTTGGGTCCAACTCGATGGCACATAACAATAACAGTATAGGGGGTTGGATTTGAAATGGGGAGGTCTTGAAGGCCAGAGTCTGGTCTTTTGGAAGACCCTTCAAGTTTTTGAAGAGGGGGAATGACATGATATAGGTTTACTTTATAAGGGTTATTAAGGCAGTTCTTTGCAAGATGCACTGGTTTGGAAGGAAGGAAATTCTCGAGTATCAGTTCAGTTGTGACAATAATGAGATATATTTGTAAAGATAGCTCTGAAGGATACAAGGACAAGCAGGAAGGAGGCAAAGAAGAGAAGCTAGAGATAATAAAACACTGGTGGGAAAATTAACAAAAGAAGAGGTAATTTTAGTTTTAAACTTGTGGACTTTAAACATTGTAATAGAACTCTGTCAAACAAAACAAAGCAAAAATCATTGCTCTTGAGTTGATTCCAATTCATAGTGGCCCTATAGGACAGAGTACAACTGCCCCATAGGATTTCCAAGGCTGTAAATCTTTCCAGAAGCAGACTGCCACATCTTTCTCCCGAAAGCAGACTGCTGGTACGTTGGAATAGCTGACTTTTTGATTAGCAGCTGAGCACTTAACCACTGCATAACCAGGGCTCCTTCATAGAACCCCAAGATGGAAAAATCCAGCAGGATGATAAAGATAATAATGGAAGTTAAGTGAGAGATAAGAGGGGGAGACAGATTTTGGGAACCAAGCTCACAGATGCACATGGAAGAAATGTTCAATGAAAAGAGATTAAAAACTTGGGCAAAACTTGAGAGAATGCTAATAGTCACTGAAGAAGAAAGAGGAGGTATTAAAGGACTCTGTGAAGAAATAAATAAGAAGAAAATGGAGACCACATGGTGTCATGGAACTCCAGAAAGGAAAGAGATTAAAGAAGAAAGAACCTGGTAACAAGTAGGTGGTTAATAAGAATTTGAGAAATCAACAAATGAGTGGTTTCATTTCTTTATGAAAATAATTGGTCAAACATGTTCTCTCTGCACCCCTATCCCCCTGCCCCCCAGATAATACAAAGGTAAACTTCATTCAATTTCATGTTTGAATTATTAAAAATTCCAAGTTAGGGGAATCTGAAAAGGGTTCTGTATAATTAAGACATTCCACTCAATGTAATAGACACTAATTTCTTTAAGAGAGAATGTGCTTCTGGGTCTTGAATCTTTAGAAGTGACCAACAGCTGCATTACTTTAAAGGTTGTGACAGAACCCCATCCAGATACAGAATTAAAGAAGAAGGTAAATGAAAATGCTTTAAATGTTGCAAAACATAAACTCTTAAAACAACTTGACTGGGGATTCTAGCTTCCAGTAATAATGAAGTAACTTGATTGGACTAATTCTCTTACCTGTAACAATCATAAGGTCTAAACCAACAAATAAAGAAAAAATACTTCTTTAAAAGCACTGAGTAGTGATCAAAAGCAGTTTAAGAAGCAGAAGGGGAGTTTAGCCCTGAAACCCGGAAATGACAACAGGTGTGAGTTCCCACACCTGAGGTAATTCCTCAATCCTCCACATGGCCAGGAAGCTGGAAAATTTACAGCTTTACTGGTTTGAGATGTTAACGAGAGAGTTTGGGGCTATTAAAACCAAAACCAAACCTACTGTCATTGAGTTGATTTCAACTCATAGTGACCCCCATTGGGTTTCCAAGGCCGTAAATCTTCACTGAAGTAGATTGCCTCACCTTCCTCCTGTGGAGCTGCCAGTGGGTTTGAACTACTGACCTTCAGGTTAGCAACCAAACGTACCCACCACACCCACCACCAGTGCTCCTTTTGGAGCTACTAGAACAGCTATAAAGTTAAGGGGAAAATCCTGAAAGATCCACAAAGAAGATGAGCCTCAGAATCTGCGTATAAATTCTCATAAATTCTTGGCAGGCAGACCCCGAAAGAGCCAGCAAAAGAGCAGCAGCTGGAAGCTGAAAGAGTGAAGAGTTCAGTTGATGCCCACCTGCAGAGAAGAAAAATGTTGAAATTTGAGCTCAGGAATTTAACTGCCTGCTGGAACAAACATCGACAATCTTCAGAGGAACATAACAGAAGTCAGAGTCTCTACAATATATCATTTATAATGTCCACTCTACAATCAAAACCCATTATACATGAAGAAATGTGATCCATAATTAAGAGAAATGACAATCAACCAATCCTGAGATGACTCCTATGCTGCAATGAGCAGATTGTGCCTTCAAAGAAGCCTTATAAATATTAAAGGAAATTATGCTTAAAGGAAAATATACTTATAATGAATAAACAAGTGTAGTATTTCAAGAGAAATGTATAAACTATAATAGAAAATTCTAGAGCTAAAAAGCACAAAAATGGAAATAAAAATTTCACTGAATGGGCTTAATAGAAGATTACAGATGGTAGAAGGAGAAAAAGTAAACTTGAAATTGTTCAGCATAAATTATTCAATATGAAAACAGAGAAAAAAAGATGGAATGAAAAATAACTCTTAGACCTGTAGAAGAATATTAAAGGGCCTAATCCTCACAACTGGACCAATAAGCAACATTATGATAAATGGAGAAAATGATGAAGTTGTCAAGGATTTCATTTTACTTGGATCCAGCATTAACATCCATGGAACCAGCAGTCAAGACATCAAACAACATATTGCATTGGGCAAATCTGCTTCAAAAGACCTCTTTAAAGTGCTACAAAGCAAAGATGTCACTTTTAGGATGAAGTGTGCTTGACACAAGCCACAATATTTTTAATTACCAAATGCATGTGCATGTTAAAGTTTGACAATGAATAAGGAAGACTGAAGAAGAATTTTATGCTTTTGAATTATGGTATTGGTGAAGAATATTGAATATACGTCTTGCAAGAAGAATGAACAAATCTGCCTTGGAAGTAATGTATGTAGCTAGAATGCTCTTTAGAAGTGAGGATGGCAAGACTTTGCTTCATATACACTGTGCATGTTATGAGGAGAACCAGTTCCTAGAGAAGAACAGCGTGTTTGGCAAAGTAGAGTGTTAGGAAAAAAGAGGAAGACCCTCAATGAAAGGATTGACATAGTGGCTGCAACAATGGGCTCAAACATAGCAACGATTGTGAGGATGGCACAAGACTGAGCAGTGTTCCTTTCTGCTGTACATGGGTCATAGTGAGAACCACCTTGATGGCACCTAACAACAACACAGATGTAGAATTGGAGACCCTAAATGACAGGAGACAATGGGACAGAAATATAATTCTCCTATTTCCCAAATAAAGTTAAGGGGAAAATCCTGTAAGAACC